CCCGGCCCCGCACTCGCTGCTGCCGGAATCCTGGAGCCCTAGCGGCTCCGGGGCGGTGCGGCTGCTCGGCCCGGGCTACTTAAAGCCGCTGGCCCCCTGCCGGACCGCTTCTCCGTGCACCGCTGTCGGAGCGCGCCCGGAGTCCCCGCCTCCGGCACCTCTGTCGCCCCTGTTCCCGCAGCCGCGGAGCCGGGCGGGCGCCCCGCGCGCAGACATGGGCAGCCGCACCAGGGCGCGCCGGGCGGCCGTGGCGCTGGGCGTCACTGGGCTGCTGTGCGCGATGCTGGGCGCCGTCATGATCGTGGTGGTGCCTTCGTTCATCCAGCAGCAGGTCCTCAAGGTGGGTGAGGCGCCCGGGAGGGAGCGCCCTGGGCCCAGGACCAACACTCCGGCGGCGGGGACGCCCCGGGGGAGCAGCTCCTACCGCCCCGGCACCCTCGCGGGCTGGGGCTGGGGGCCACAGGGACGACGTCCAGGGCCTTTGCTGGGGACCCGAGCTGGGGAGGCCTGAGGGAGAGACCACCCGGGGCCTGTGCCCGTCTACACTCAGCTGAGGGGTCTGGGCCCAGGACCGGCCAGCAGTCCACTCTGCCCGCTGGGGCTGGCCCAGGAGCCCAGGCGTGAGCTTGCCCGGTAGCGGACCTGGTAAAATGAGCGCCGCAATTTGCCTGCTTCCTGTGCGCCGCTAGAGGGCGGGAACCTTCCATTCATGGGTGAGACTCTTGCACCCAGGTGGGCGCGAGCACAGGGAGCTATACACCAGTCACCGTAGAACGTCCCCCACGGCCCGGAATCTCCCCGCAGAAACCTCTCTCGGGCAGAACCGGGCTCTGTCCACATCCCCGCCCCCAAAGCCCTTCAGTGATGCACATTGGAATTGAAAACCGCTTTCCTCCTCGGATTCTCTCCAAGCAGGCTCATGCCCTGGCTGCCAGCAGGGCCCAGGGAATGCGTGCAGCCCAAGGTCTCTCCTCTGAGCCTAACTTTGCACTCCACCGGCCTTTCAGTCAGGGAGACTAAGGCTGTCAGCTGGCCTTCAGACCTGCAGACTCTGTCCCGGTGACTGGGTGGCCTGCCAGAATGAGACTGGAGTTACTTAAGGACAAGGAGATTACAAACAAAATCCCTGCAGCTGAAAGCTTTTCAGAGCCTTGAACCCAGCCAGCCAGCACCAGCAGGGTCCTGGAGGGGAAACAGAGGCTCAAGACCTTATCATGACAGCCACACGGGAGCTAGAGTGGAGACCTGGACGTTGTCCCAGTAGCTGGCTTCTCTTTTCCCCTGACTTCCTCATTGGGCTGAGTTTTATAAGAATAGAGATTGTCCACATTTCATGACTGTGTTCCTGAGCCCAGCACAGGGGCTGGCACAGGTGGGGATTGGGGAATGAATGAGTGAGTGAATGAGTGAAGGATGCTTCTAGTTAGTTAGCCCTGGCCCCCACTTCCTGGCACCTGGCTGGCTGGCTTTAAAGACAGGCAACGTTTGGCTTCTCTCAAGGTCCCTGGGGAAGCAGTTGTCTGAGTCACCTTGGTACATGGTGTCTTCCTTGGACTGCTGGTTTTGCAAATCCTGCCCCGTTTAGCCCTGAAATGTGTTTGTCAGAAGGCCTTGGGCTGATCGATCCATGGTCATGCTGCCCTTCTCTTGGTCGTTTTCTGTTTTTGCTTCTGGTGGTGGCTGCAGAAACGTGTGCGGGAAGCCCACAGAGCCACATAACAGGTCTTCCTCAGCCATGGAAGTGGCGGATGTTTCTCTGTTAGCATTTCAAAGTCAGCTGTGACAGCCTGATCTCATGACAGTTGGTGAACTCCCACCAGCTGAGTGGTCTCTGTGGTGCTGGGACCACTGTGCGCTTGGCAATCACGCCACTCACCCCACCCCGGAGTCTGTCTCTGGGACTGTCCTTCAGGGGTATAAGCATGGCCCACCATGACCCTGTCCAGAAAGCTGCTTGCCTCTCGCTTTGGGAATATGGGGGTGAATGGGATTTATAGTGGATGAAACATCTTGTCGGCTCAGTAATTCTTAGGCTTATTTAGGGGAGTTTTGTTTCTAAGGCTGTTGATCAGGATGAGGATATCAGGGTGGTGGAAGTGGTGTGTGTGTGTGTGTGTGTGTGTGTGCGTGCACACGCCACCTACTCTTCCATTCCTCTTCCACTTCCCAAGAGGAAAGCCACGTTGTCCTTGGCTGTCCCAGAGCTGGGGTCTCTGGGTGTGAAGTTGGGCAAGAGCTTCCTAACACCTTTGGTTCATACCCTGGAGGTGGCTGGCTTGGGGGCCAAGTGGTGTGAGGGTGCCAAGACAGCCCACCCCAAGCCAGCTCTGGCTTGGGTAACCCAGGCTGGAACTGCCGCCAAGAGCCTTCCCGTGAAAGAAGAAAGCCTGTGTTCAGGGCGTGGAGCCGGGTGGGACGCTGGGTGGGAAGGGATGCCTGCCTGTGTTTTCTTTGGCTGCACGTGCCCATGGACAACTTGAATGGGCGAGCTTGTACTTTTATTTGTTTATTTATTTTAATTAAAAATATTTATTAAAAATTATAAAAGACACAAATACTAGCTGTTAAAAATTCAAATAGAGAATAAAAAGAGAACGTTTTCTCGTTTTATTGCCCTCCTCAGTAGTTATCACCACCATCAGTATGGGTTGTTCTAGAGTTATCTAAATGTATTGTGAGCACATGCATATAGGCATTAATATATTTTGCTACACAGGTTGCATTATTTAAAAAAAAAAAAAAAAACATTGCCATCGAGTCAGACCCGACTCATAACAACCCCTCCTTGGGTTTCTGAGGCAGTATCACCATGGAAGTAGATTGCCCCATCTTCCTTCCGAGGGGTGGTATTTATTTAGCTGTTTACATACGGACTGATGTTTTTTTCTGCCACAAACAGCAGTAGGTGAATGTCCCGATGCATGTCTCTCTGTGCACATGTGTGAGTGCTTCCATAGGAAAGGTTTCTAGAGCTGGAATTTCTAGATCAAAAGACATTCTCAGCTTTCTTGAGAGATAAATCATGTTATTCACCGATTTAAATTGTGTAACTCAGTGTTTCTTAGTATACTCACAGAGTTGTGCCACCACCACCACAATCAATTTTAGAACATTTTCATCACCACAAAAAGAAACTCCGACCCTTTAGCTGTCACTTTGGGCCTTCCAATCCCCAAGCCCCAAGCCCTAGGCAACCACTAATCTACTTTCTATTTCTGTAGATTTCCTTATTTTCAGTTTGAATTTGAACGTTGTTGTTGTGAGTTGCTGTTGAGTTGGCTCCAGCTCATGGCAGCCTTACATAGAACACAATGAACACTTGTTCGGTCCTGAGTCATCTTCACAATTGATATGTTTCAGTCCGTCGTTGCAGCTACTGTGTTGATCCATCTCACTGAGGGTTTCATTCTTTTTTCATTGACCCTCTACTTTATCAAACATCATGTCCTTTTCTAGCAATTGTTTTTCCCGATGATGTGTCCAAAATAAGTAAGATGAAGTCTGGCCATCCTTGCTTCTAAGGAGCATTCTGGTTGTAGTTCTTCTAAGACTGATTTGTTTGTTCATGTTTTGCAAGATCATGTTTTGCATATGGAAACCGAATAACACTCTCCTTGAAAATGACTGGGTAATAGAAGAAATACAAAATGAAATAAAAAAAAAAAATTCCTTGAATCAAACGAGAATGAAAACACAACATACCAAAATCTTTGGCATATAGCAGAAGCAGTGATCAGAGGCCAATATCTAGCAATAAATGTACACATCAAAAAAGAAGAAAGAGCCCAATCAACACCTTAACCCAACATCTCCAACAATTAGAAAAAGGGCAGCAA